AACTATACTACACATTGTCTTAGTTTGGGCTGAAATAGAGTTAATATTCCTTCTCAGGGACTAGATGAATGCTGTGTTTTGGATTTAGCTTTGGGTTTGGTATGGGAAAAATGCTGACAGCACACTGATGTTTTCAGCTGCTGCCGAGACTTCAAGGACTCTCCGGCTCCCCATGTTCTGCCCGTGCGCAAGGGCACAGGGAGCAGGGAGGGAGCATGGCCACAGCACCTGACCCAAACTGGCCAGGGAAATATTCCATATCATGGAACGTCATGCTCACTGTATAGAGGAGGGGTGGTGGGGAAGGGGCTCTCTCTCTCTCTCTCTCTCTCTCTCTCTCTCTCGCTTCCAGGATTGCGATTGTGGGATCTTGGTATCTCGGGGTCGCTGGCCGGGAGCGGGCTGGGCATTGGTCAGCGGGTGGGGAGCAATTACACTGTACATTGCCTGGTTATATATTTCTTTTTGTTTTCCCCCCATCATTGTTATTGTTTTCATTTTATTGCCATTATTAAACTGTTCCTATCTCAGCCTGCGAGTCTCCCTTCACCCCTCTAATCCCCTCCCCAATTCCCAGGTGGGGAGGGGGAAGGGAGGGTGATTAGCTGCTGCATTGTGGTTGGCTACCAACCAGGCCTAAACCATGACACACATACACATACATGCTTCTATAAAATTAAATGGTCTTAATTTACTATAATTTTTTTTTGGTCATATAAGAGTGCTCAAAGTGCTTTAATTAGGAAAAGTGCTTTCTAACTGAATTTTTATGAATGGTTAATAGTACCTGCATCAAAAACAGAACAGCTCCTTAATTTTTCTGTCACAAACTGGGCTCCTTCACTATCAGACTGCACAAGTGTCAGAGCATAAGCAGTGATGGCTGTAGAATAGCAGTCAGTATTTCTTGAAAGTTGGTTTTTCATGTACGTCACAGCTCCTCTTATCACTTGTACCTGTGAAAACAGAATGAATCTATTTGAGAAGATCATTCAGACCTGCTAAAAGTTACTGCTGGTGAGAATACTAGGACATTAGAATATATCACTGTAGTAATTTTGGAGACAATTTTAATAATTCTTGCTTAGTGATTAAAGCCATTGATGATGGAATGTGTAGCTCAAAACACCTTGCTGTACATTAGGCTATGGCACGTCTTCCTCTCCACCACAAACGTAAACAGACTTTTACCTCCTCATTTGCAGTATTTTCAGATAGTAGGGTGGATATGCCATTGTGCAATAGCTTTCAGGCTTAAAGATAAACAGTCAGGATTCCTACCACATCAGGTGACTGGTAGACCTGTAGAGTCTGTTGTAATGCTATAGTTACAAAGGCTGTCAAAGCCAAGTCCTCTTCTGCTGACCTAATGCCACCCTGAAAGATGAAACATGAAAAGAAAAAGTCAAATGCACATATATATGCTTATGATTAAATTTAGAAAAATCACTTTTCATTAAGTCAAGGACCTTCTTGTCAAACCATCAGACCACAGACCAGGTAGTTTTACCCTTTAATTTTACTCTGTATCTTGCGTCCGCCTAAAATATACCTTCTACAATGGCAGCCAGTTTGCATTACACAATGTTATGTCTTCATATATATGTCCTTCAGCCAGTAATTAAATTTTTAATTTATCATTAAAAATCTACAGTTTCTCACTGGAATATTCATGGTTTCAATTTCCAAGCAGTAATTGGTTGTTCTTTTCCCGTTTCTCTGCTACTCTCTATAGGCTAAAGAGCACTCTAACACACAGAACTTTTCTCCTGTAGAAGTATTTATACACCATTACTAGATCATCTCTGATTCCTCTTCTTGATAAACTGAACATAGACCCCTCATTAGCTTTTTTTCCTGAATATCTGCATTTTCATTCCGATTCTTATTTGTGATTATTTTGCTCAAGCTCTCCTTTGACAATAACCTTAAGATTTTCAACAACTTTTAACAACCTTTGACAAGAACCTTCTCCTGCAGTCAGCCCCAAAATATCTTTAGGAGAAGGATATTTTGTTTGCTTGGAAAGACTTAAGTTTCTCTACAAAATTATCATGCACAGCCCCTGAAGCAAATGTAAAATAGAAGATAAGTATCTCAGCATGAACACATGTCAGAAAAACCTTTGGCCAGTTCTTGAGCTGTTTTTTTTCCCCAGCGATGTTACATCAACTGTGGAACAGGCTTTGAGGGTGAAAGCCTCACTAGTGATTTGTCAGAGATTGTTAATAAAATTAGTACATTTTTTTCATATAAGATCACTAGAAAGATGTCTGTATTTTCAATGAATTTTGGAAGATGCACATTATTTTCATATCCTAGATGCATGGACAGTGTAACAATTTTGTGTTTCTGGACATTTATAGGGGATGTATAGACTAACATGCAATTGAAAATTCTGATTATGTATTAAGGTTTGGGGTTTTTGTTTGTTGTTTTTGGTTTGGTTTTCCATGGGAGTGGTTAAATACTGAAACAGTTTACCCAGAGACTGTGGGATCCCCATCCTTGGAGGTACTCAAGGCTCAGCTGGATATGGCCCTGTGCAATCTGATCTAACTAGACCTGTTCTGAGCAGGGGTTGGACTAGATGACCTCTGGAGTTTGCTTCAAAACTAAATTATGAATCTATGCCTTTATTGCCTTTGGCAATAAGGGGCATACGTTTTTACGAGGAACAAAGATCTCAGAATTAAATTTCTAAGTAAGTGCTCTAGAGGCATAGGTCAGCTGCAAAATTATCTAAGACTGGATCAAAAGATAAAGGTGGTGAAGTGCTCACTGTGCATCTCTGACACAACAGACCTTTTAACAAATTCATTTTACGTTACAGATGTCATATTTCTTATGTTACAGATTTCTTTTCTTTTGATACATTTCTTGTTACTCAAAAACTCACAATATCCCTAGCAGGTCTAAATGTGCAACAGATTCTTCTAGATATGGATGACCTACCTGCATAGTCCTGTCCAGTACTGGGTGATGGTCGTGGAATGAATGATCTGCCTGCTGTTGATTAATCAAGTAGGAAACTGAGTTGTGTATGTGACTGTCTTGGACGTTAATGTATTCTTTGCTCCTTGTGAGTACTTTAACAATGAAGGCAGTTAACCTGCATAAAAGAAATTGTTTCAAACTTTTGCCGACATATATTTATAGAAGATTATATTGACAGGAGAAGAAACATATTAATTTTGTACATAGACTCATATTCTCTACATTTTTACCTTTTAGAGTCCACTCACTGGAACCTAGTGAGTTATCATTCGACATCAGTGTGAACATTTCTACTCTGTGGCAAATCCAATATAATCAGTGGCTCAGTATAAATCTCCTTCAAGGACTAAACGTGCTGAGAGACTTAGTTGGCTGACTATCCATAACAAAAGTATATAGGCAACACTATGCTCACCAGATTTTGAAAATCCATCACCACAGAAAAACTTCTTAAGCATCAAATTATAATAGAGGTATTTTGGAAAACAAAAAAACAAACAAAAAACCCACCAAAAAAATACACTTACCATACACTACTGGGGGTTGATTTAAATGCTCCATAGGAGCCATCCACCTTCTGAAACTCAAGCAGTCTAGTATAACCTGCATGAAATGGACAGCACATATCTGTTCAGAGGATACACATATTTCTTGGGCACTTTCATATGTCACTTGTATTAACATGGGCACGTTCAGTATTGACTAGTGGAAGAGTACATGGAGCTAGTCACTGGTAAATTAAGGGGGAAATGACTGGGTCAGCAGACCTTTGACACAGAAAAAGCACTAGCCTTAGAAGGTGATCTGACTTGTTTGACTTAATTGAGCCATGAGAATAACCCAAAAACTTCAGGTATCTATAGTTACAAAGTATATTCTGTGTAGTGAGTCTTAGGAAACTTATTTCCCAGTACAGACAATGTTTCAAGCTGTTGATTTCATGGTGCATGGAATAAAAAACAAACAAACAGATAGACAAACAAAAAAACAAAAACCAAACTAAAACATCATCTCTTGGGTCAGACATATGCTTATAAATCCTGAGTTGTGGTACCTGATCTTGACTTCTACTATCCGGACAAGTCTGTGTCATAGCCACACAACTCATTTGCTACCCTGGTCAACTTTGATAAGAATCAGTAAAAATATAATATAGGGACTAAATGCTGCTGGTAATACTCATCTGCAGGATCTCATGTCACTTTAGGCAATCTTAGATAAATAGGCAAAGACCTCCATTCAGCAACTGTTAGCATGTTTTTGATCTCTCTCTTTATACCCTAATTTTTCACTGATTAAATGTGTGCCACGTTGTCTGAAGGTCCTGAAGACAAGTGCGTTATATTTCTTTATGCCATGTGAACACCTCTATAGTTAGAAGGATCAGCTGTACCTGCTACAATATTGAGAGCTCTTGGGCTCTACCTTAGTGCCTGAGAGCTGGAACACCTCCATTTCCACTTGTTCTGGTCCCGGGTTTAACACCAGCTTTGGATTACGTCTTGGGTGGGGCCTGCAAGAAGCAGCCTTGCAGCTGCCCTCCCCGCTAAGGAAACTCCCTCCAAGGCTGTTGGAGTCCTTGTAGCTCATTGTAATGAATGCGGGAGTGTGGAGGAGAAATTCTCATTATCTTGATTACCATTGGGAGTCTCTTTGGTGATATTCTTCTTGCCAACTACAGACATCTTCCAGCAGAAATGTCTACATCTCAGCTGGCCATCCTAAGCACTGTCTATGATCAGTGAGGAGAAATAAACATTTTTAGGACAAGATTAATCTTGATCTATTTTGCACATCTACATTAGGAAGAAAAGATCAACTGGCCTTTGCTGTCCGTTTACCCTGAAAAGTGTTGACATTGATGATCTCAGATTTTACTTTCTGCTTCTCAGTTAGGCAAGAGAGAGGGTGGACTGTGAATGTCAATATTGTACAATGTTGGATGTGGGCAATTAGTCACCTAAATCCTCCTCACCAGTTCAGTTTCTCATGTCTGTCTGCAGATCGTCTGAGACATTTCTGCGTGGCTGTGTTAAGACAACACACACTCCTCTGGCAAGCAGCAATGGTTAGTGTGCAATGAAAAAGGATAACAAAGATGCATTGGTTGGTCTTTGTGGTTTTTTTTGTTTGTTTGTTTGGTGTTTTTTTTTTGTTGTTGTTTTTTTTTTGATCTGTGTACCTGTTTCAATCATGTTAATGGCTTCCTCCTTCCGCTCAGGATCAAAGTTCACCCACTGCTCACTGGCATCCAAGTACTCAATAGCATAGACTGCAGGGGCCATTTTCACCATTGTTTGCTCTGCACAGCCTGTGGGAACTTGAATAAGCTTCTCAACTCCAGTAAGACTAAGACAATTTTCAACAGACTCGTCCATGATATTCCCTGTTGTAAAAAACACAAGCCATAGTACATATTGTATTTAAAGCTGGCTGGTGTAACATGAAGAAAGGTTGATGCTCCAGTGGGATCTGATAGTTCTGATTCTTAAACAATGTTTTCAGCTACTTAAGACTTTGTAATGCTGGAGAAGAACAAGGATGAGGTACCAGGCCCTGGGAAAGCTGGAGAAGGGAGGCTGGGGCAGCGAAGGCACATGGAGGAGAAAGAGTCCTGAGGCTACCGGAGGCAGGGGAGCAAGGAAAGGGAGTAAGACTGGTGTTTCAGGTTCAGACTGGAAAAGTCTTGTCAAACCAGACCGTATCCTCCCAAAGAGGGCAAAAAGATTGTGCCTTAATCATGCCAAACATTTTGTGCATAAGATTTTTTTTTTTTCCTCTCTGCAATTTTCTCATTTGATGAATTCAAGCATCCCCATAATTCAGAACAGGGATTTTAAATGGAAGCCAATAACATTTGTGTCAAGAATGCATTATTTTACATTTTCTGGGGAAAAAAAGGTGTTTTTATTATTAATGAAGAGTACCTGCTAGTAGATGTTTTTAAAATATGTATGCATGAATACATGTATATGTATATGGTTATTTGATTAAATGATCATATGATTATACATATCTTCTCTCTAGAAAAACAAGAACTCTTCAGAATTTATACATCAGAGTCTGGCATCCTTATTCCTGAAGGCTAAAGCAGATTTCTACAGACCTATATGCGCTGTGGGGTTGTTAGAGAAGGTGAATTCTTCCCTTCTCCTCTGGACTGCCCATGAAGTTGGTTCGGGCACAGTGAAGCAGGTTAGACCACATAAACCTATTATATCCAATACAAGTGGGAAGGAGTAATTAGAAAGAGGAAAGGTACTGGGTTAGCCTTGGGGCTGTTTTGTTTTATGATCTGGGCATGTACAACAGACCATGTGAATCACAGAAGAAAAAACTAGGAGGGAATGGAGACTCGACGTTCCGGAATGAGCAGCGCAAAGGGGCACGTCTCTTTCCAACTATGGAGAAGTTATTGACAAACAATTACATTTACCTTTCAGGCTAACAAAGACGTGACTATCAGAACCCGGTACCATATCAGATGGTCTGTTCAGGTCCAGTGTATGGGACTTTACTGTAAATAAATAGTAAATAGAAATCTACATTCAGACTTTTTAAACATAAAAACATACAGTGTAATTTTAGATCATGCTTGTCATTAAACATCTCACAATTGATGGCAGTTATGACATAAATGTCATCAGAAACATTAAATGGAAATTTATGAAAAAAAATAGACTTATCTTTCTTAAATTGATATAATTTTCAATTATCAGCAATATTTTTTGACTTGAAATGAGGCTTGTTTTTAATACCTTTTAAGAGCCATTAGTAAACAAAATAGATGACTGCTTAGTATCCAAAGAATGCTACATTGAAACATGGAAGGAATACAAATCAGTTCTAAACATTTAGAATTAAATTATTTTTCTTTCCTGAGTCTTTTGCTATGTATTGAACGAAGAAATTTGTGAAAAGTTCTGGTCAACCAAAGCAATGTTTGTACATTAAGAAGGATTTCACTGCACCCATCAGATATTCACACCAGGCTTTACACACTCTGTCCCTACCTCAAACCTCATCTATATCTAATTCGTTTGTGTAACTTACAGTCACTGTTAATGCAAATGGTCTCTTCTTCTCTCTGTAAAACACCTTCAGCCTGTACAATTGAGGAAAGAAAAGTCAAAACTTTTGCACGCACTCACCCTTGAAATTAAGCTGCATGAAAGCCACAATCTCCACCCTTACACTAGACCAGCAGGTGTCAGAAATAAGTTATATTGGAATGAGATTTTTCTCCAGGTAAAGCTGATGCTCCAAAACAGAATTTCAGTCTCCCAATTGAAATGCTAATAAAGTCTAGTGACATTTTTGTTATTTTTGACATATTTCCCTGGATGAAATTCCTTTAACCAAAACTAACCCAGAAAAATCAAACCTCTAAGTTTATTCTCAGCTTTGTGAGCCATACAAGTCAAGTTCACAGGTGGACTCACTTTAATAAACCTCTCATTACAAAACCCACCAAGTTTTGAGTTCATCTTGTTGGTAAACTTAAACTTATTTTCTTCTGATTTCCAGACACCCCTATTCCTACAGTTTCTATTTTAATGAAGCTATTTTTACAGACACTTCTAGTGTTTTGGTGTAGCACTGAACTCTAAGACTGTGTCTGTCTCTACAAAAGTTATGGCCTGTAACAACAGCAGGTTCCTGGCATCCCATGCCTTATCTTTACTTAGATGGTTATTCCCTGACATTAATGGTGCAAGGATTCATATTTTGCACTTTTTGTGCTGGTCTCTGACTCTGTGTTGGTCAATGTTAACTCTTGAAAAGTCATTTTTTCTAAAAGGCTCCTCCTTTTTATCATTTTGAAAGAGAACTAAGGTATTAAATAATCAATACAACATCTTTGTTTGCCTGTAGGTGTTTTAGCTATGCAATTGTTAAGATTGCAGACCCATTAAGTAGAAGAAATAAAATAGGGTTTAACTTTATGACTAGCAGAAGGTATTTTATTCTCAAATATCTTAATAGATGGACATGGTCAGTCTTGGCCTCATAAGGGAAAAAGATTTTCTATAAATGTTGATGAAGCAGGTGGAAGTTAGAGATTACAAGATGGGCACTGACTGCATGGAAGAAGTTGTTGCGATGTCATGTGTAGAAGGATGCCTTTCGCCATATAGAACAATTCTTTCCACGACACACAAGCCCACCACAGGGTTAAAACTTTTCCCCATGTTATAGCTCAGTCCTTTCCTGAGATTGCTTTCAGCCTTAGGGTTCTATGATTTCACTCCCTCCACAAGGGCTCCACACATAGTGAATGTCATATTTGACAAGAAACACATATTTGTGAAGTGCCTGCCCTCAACTAGTTGTACCTACCACAACATTGAGGTTCTTCCTAATGCTATCACTGTGCCCAGAAAGCGTGTCGAAAGCAGTAATAGTAATTGGGATTTCTCCCACAGTCAGAGGGACAACCGAGAAATAGGCTGGTGTTGCAGAGTTCCCCTTAGCCTCCAGCATCAGCTGCACAGCCTTCTCTGTCGCCTCTGCGGTGCACAGCCCCTTCACTGCTTCCATCGTCACTGTAACCTGCGGGGACAAGGCAACCCCTGCAGTCATGCTCAGTGCATCACTGCACAGGAAAAATACCCCAGCTCCACCATGGCCAGATAAGAACGGGAAATGAGAAATAGGTCTAATGGGAGACTAGATTTTGCTTAAAGTGTAAATAGCAATGCAGGCATTTTGCAAGACAGAAAGTGTTTTTCACTTTGCTCCCTTTACTATTCTGCATTTATAAAATGGGAAAAAGTATTTCTCAAAGAAAGTGATCCAAAGAGTTTGTGGAGTCTCCCACCTTGGAGATATTCAATATCTGACTGGACAATCTGCTCTAACTAGACCTGCTCTGAGCAGTAGGTTGGACAAGAGACCTCTGGAGGTTCCTTGTAACCTAAATTGCTCTATGACCCTATGGTCTGTTTACATTAATCTACACCAACTAGGGCTGTGAAGGTAAATCGACTAGTATTTCTTCAGTACACTGAATCTGCAATATAGATTTGGCCTATCCCTGAACCACAGGGAATCAAAAAGGACAGCGCATTTTTATACATCCCAGCCCTACACCATTCAACATAGTTCAGAAGGTGCTGGTCAAGTAGAACTGGCTGAGATGGGAAGACATGAAAAAAAGACCATCAGCCTGAGGATGATGGAGGCCCTAAGCCCAGTGACAACTGTGGCCATATACAGAGCTGGATATGGGTCACATGCAGACATAAAGTGCCTTTGCATTGTATGCAGAATTAATTTTGTGCTAACGTATTGGATTGTGTGCTCATAATTTACCTCTGTATCTTGTGTACCTGCTTAATCAGCAGCTGGGTGTTGCCCAGATTGATAGGTGGCAAAAAAGTAGCTGGTTGCTTCAACGAAGTGGGAGAAGACATACCCAAAGACAAGGAATTTGTTTGTGTAATTTGGTAAATAAATTTTTTTATACAGTAAGTTTGATTATTAAGTAGAACTGGATCCTGTCCTTGGGGAGACTTTCAAAATGGGAGCGTGATGTCTGGGCTGTAGGAGGGAACTGAAAGGAGGCTGGGTCATTTAAATTAAATTATTACACAACTCTACATCTAGCTAGATAGACGTGTATAGCACAACAGTTGGTGATAATACTACCTGGAGATCACTGGGCAGATAGTTGTAAACCACTGCTTTTATTTCTAGTTGTTCATGTCGTCTGACTGAGTATGGTAATCTCAGGGACACAAAAAAGTCTTTGAAAACTGTGAACGTGTGGGGGTCAGCTATGCAAAATCCTGGGGTGAGAAAAAAACAGATTTGACAATTACACACCAAGCATCAGCTGATAAAAAATTAACTGTCTAATCAAAACTCATTGCCTAGGCTCCCCTGAGGTCAAGAGCAGGAGAGGGAGACACGCATATCCAGAAAGCATTTCAACTCAACTGCACTAAAGGCCTATGTCGGGGGTCAATGATTTGCCCTCCGGCAAATCGCTGCCGTGGTTTTCGATCGGTGAAATTTGGTAGGAGTGTCTGTAGATTTTGTGAGTGAAACGTGGCCCAGCTTTCCTGCGAAGGCCATGTGTAAAACACAGTGACCTTTCCCCGTGTTCTGTAAGCAAACTCCGTGACCAACGCTGCAGGCCTGCATGAGCCTCCCTTTCCGCAGGGGAGAGGGCAGTGCCACGTAGACCCGTTGTCCCTCCTGCACAGTCCTGCTCAACCCCGAGGAGCTCCCAGAGAGCAGCACCTGGGAACCTGGGCTCTCTGGTGTCCAGCCTTTTCTGATCCTCTGCTAGTCTCCTGGTGCTCTTCTCTTCTCTGGCTTTCCAGAGACTGCAGACTTTTATGCTTCTCTGAGATGGCCAGAACTCACTCCCAGAAATACTCAAATAAAAGTGATGCTATTACCACTATCTTTCTTGTGGCTTCCTGGCCAAGCAGAAGATAACACATAGGTTGGAAAGAATAAGAGACAGTTTTGATGTATAATCTTGGCTCCTTCAGAGCCCCCTCAATGTTGTCTTTATAAATACATATCTAACCTTTAAATTCTATCTGGGCTTTAATATGGCATAAAAGAGAGAAGTAAATGTTGTGATCAAAACATTTTCTGTTTTTTTTTTTCAGTACAGACTGTCTCACTCTGTCAACATAATGTTGTATTTCTGTTTTAAAAAAAATATATGGTCTCTATTAATCTATGCAAAGAAACCCAGTAAAATACCCAATACTTATACCTTTTTGGGGAGATATGCTTATTGCCTGAATTTCCCAGGTAGTTATAGAGTCAGGAGCAAAGTTTTCTACACTAAGAAACACAAAATAAAATGTATTAGGAAGGACATATAAAATGCAAACATTGTCATTTGCTGAACTTTAAGTCTTGTAAGGGAAACAAATATTCCCTCAGTTGTGGAGACGAAGTACTTGCAGATATTCTGAAGTCCTTCATATCAGATAATACATAAAGCTGATATTTATATACAGTTTACTGTATGCATTTAGACATATTCATCGAGTCAGGTAATATAGTACCTATGGTTTCCAGGGTTTTTCACTTCTTCAAAATTCCACCACCAACTCTCAGGAAAATAACTGCGCAAGTTGACAGAGGTTTCATCAAACACTTCTTCATGGTCATCATAGTCTGTAAAACAAGAGTGGGGTTTCTGTTCTGAACCCTTTGGCTGCTGACCTTAAACTGGCTTTCAGGGAGTCAATTTGTCAGAGAGAAAGCAGCATGAAAAATACTCTGATTGAAAAGTCTGCATCTGGGTTTCATCTTGTGCAGTAAAAAAAAAGAATGTTGAAAAAAGAGAAGCAATGATCAGAGACTGTAATTTAACAGAGGATAATTCTTCTTTCCAAGTTCAATAACTATATGCTACTAAACAAGAAAATATTTCTCTGTAGTAATATGCAG